TCCCCCCCCCCCCCCTCCTACTGCTCTTGTCAACTCAAACCATCTACTGCACACATGTACTTTAAATCTCTTAAAATTTTTGTTTTGCAGCTCTCTCTCTCTCTCTCTCTCTCTGTCTGTCTTTCTGCTCTTTATATCCCCCTTCCTTACTACTCCGTTCATATCAAGCTATGTTTGAATTCGATGCAAAAAATGCTTCTTCCCAGTCCTCGCAGAACGGCAGCACTGAACTCTCCACAAATAACCCAAAAATCTCGAGAACGGAAACCGTTTGGAGAAATAGTCACTTTGATTAAATTATCTTTACATAGATTCTTACTGTTTGTAACAATCAGATCTAGAGAACTCGGCCCAAAATCTCATTTCATTTAGCAGATCATCTCTTGTCCCGCGTCTGTGCTGAGATGCGAATGTTATCAACAACCGATTACTTCAGACGTTCCGGGCAGGCCACCGGGGTCAGTCAGTGTGTACTGTTGGTGTACAGCGCGCGCGCGCCGGGAACCCTGTGTTTTCGCCATGAATACCATGGGAATGTGTTAGTCGACGATGAAAATAACGTTTTATCTTTCATAGCTTTCTATTTATAAAGTGTTACAAACACATGAATAACCCCCTCTCACAAGCTGATAAGACATTACGAGTAGTTACACCCATTCGAATAACCTTTCTAGACACTTTTGTTGTTATAATAGATGAATGACCTGGGGTTCGAAAGGGGATAATGGCTTCCGGGGATAGAATCTAGGCCAATTTCCGAATGTTTTGCACTCAAATTGTTCTTTCCGCACAATGGTATTCAAAATTATCAAAACAAGCTTATTTTTTACGAAGTGACTATTTCTCAGAACGTTCGGAGAAATAGTGCCGATCTTTATTTCTCCGAACGGTTTCCGGCTTCCGGTCTCGTGATTTTTTGCCTTTTTATTGCGAGAGTTCGGCGCCAACTTTCATTCTGCCTCTGGTCTGGGAAGGAACACCGCATGGCAAGCCCGCCTACAGACAACCTTCAGTAACACCCACCAAACACCCACCATCATCATGCACATGTACACACACTAACTAAACATGACCAGTGCGCAACTTTTGAACGTGTGACGAGCTGAGCTGTGGATGGAGAGACAGTGTGAGTGAAAGAGCGGGTGAAAGGAAGAATGTGCGAGTGTATCCACAGGCGACAGCAACTACAAGACGATGACACCGACCCCCCTGGCCTGGTCCACAGCTCGCGAACGAAAGGAATGCAGCCCAGGAAGTGTTTTGCCTATATTATTGTCCATGGTTCGCAGGGAGCAAGGGAATGAGTGAGATTTTCTTTGTGTGTGCCTGAAGGGAGGGGATGGGGTATGAAAGTCATGTGGACAGGGATTAGCCGCGGGAGAGAACATGGGAATTGAATGAATGAGTGAAACTGAAAGAGACGAACGACTCATGAGCCCTGGAGTGAATGGATCCTGTGTTTCTATTTTTGTATACTTTGAACTGTTACTGAATAAAGGCTGAAATAAAGCCCGAAAAACAAACAAACACACACACACACACATACACTCCTCACTCTCCACTTACTACCACACACAGACACACTCACACACGCACATGCATACACACACACACGAGCAAATTTTTGGGTCTATATCTATTTCAGTTTTCAAGAGCTAGTCTAGAGATTTTTAGATGAGTGTAAAAACGTGAAAAAGAAAGGTTTTTAAAACAGAAAGAAATCAAAATTAGAACAGCCCAAAAACAGCAACAAACATTAACAAATAAGGGCGCGTGTCCACCTGTCCGAAGAAGATTGGCTGTTTTAACCCTAAATGTGGGTAATTTTTTTTTTTAAGTACAGGATATTACATGTAAATTATGGAATCACACACATTAAGGGGCTTGCCAGTGTCAGTACATTGGTCGCAGCAGTGACAAACGCAGATGCCAGTTCTATGTGTCTTTATCAATAACCCTCCGTAGATCTAGATTTAGAAGTCTAGACTAGATGTAGACAGCACACGAGTGAACACAACACATTACGTTTAAGAGCAGCACCCTTCATAGGCAACACATCATATCTGTAGCGAAAAATGTTTGGAATTGTAGCATTTCTTTATATAAATATTTACTGCGGACATTTTTTGGACCGCTAGAACCATATTGTAAACGAACAATCTTTGGTAGGCCTAAATTATAATTATAGATCTCTATATAATATCCGAAATTTGCGGGAAAGGATGAGATTTCAGAGTGTTTGGAGAAATAGTGCCCAGCTTTATTTTCCCGAACGTTCGGAGAAATAGTGCCCAGCTTTATTTTCCCGAACGTTCGGAGAAATAGGGCCGGCCTATTTTTTATCAGGTAGCCTACAGCCTACTGAGGTAGTAGTAGTTACGTAGTATTATTTCATACAAAATCAAGCTCATTTGAAAGATTTCGTATAGAAGAAAAAATGGAAGTCTTGTTTCCTGACTATCCCTTTCAAATTGAACTTCTCATCATGTCTAAATGGGTCAATTTGTTCTATAATTTCATTGGACGAACATCTAGAGCTACCAACTTGGCGTGTTCTTGAATGAGACGTATATATATGCCTCGGTTACGAACCAACACAGGCGGTCCTAGAATCTAGAAGAAGGCCATAAACGCACACAAACTGGTGCTTTTTTGATAGTCCCCCCCCCGCGCCTTATTTGAGCCTAGATCTACATCGAGATCTATACGTTTGATGCGCGGCGAGCCAAGATATCAAACCTCATCATCATCATCCGGTGCCTTGCCGACTGGCGTGGGCGATCATGGACCTCCACTTCACTCTGTCCTGCGCTGCAGCAATGGTGGTGTCTGTTGTTGTTCTTGCTGCTCCTAGCAATGTTGTCATCTCGTCCAGTATCTTCTCCCTCTGTCTGCCTCTTTCCATCAAACTTTCCTGTTGTTACAATATTCTCTAATGCTTCTTTCCGCATTGTGTGTCCGAATAAATTTGCGTTTTCTTCTATTCGTGATATCAAACCTAACAACTGCAAAACATCAAATTATAGTAAAATCAGGGGGGCATGCTCCTCTGAAACCCCCCCTACTCTTGGGGCCAAAACCCGCAAATAACAACTGCGGGGTGGGAACTACCGAAAAAGCGCCTACAAACTCAAGCAGACTGACGCACACACACTTGACTTGTGCTGCGTGAATGGGGATCCGATGCGGGACCCGAATTGAAGGGGAGAGATGATTCTTATCTTGGCATGCATGCGCTGAGCCAGGGGCCAGACTGACGCATGACCAGAAAGCAGGCGAGGTGCCGAAATTGGCTTATCGGGCGATATAAACCCGGCCCCCGCAGGATGAGGGTTACCTTCGTTTGACAAAATGCTCAAAAGTGACAAAAGGCAGGCAAAGGCAAAAGGTGAAGGCACTGAAGGTGAAGGGAAGGCGAAGGGAGAGAGCATTTTATTAAGACAGGCTATGCCCCAGACCCACATCAACAGCACATTTAAACTTTCACACAGAAAGAGCCAAACTAAGGGTGAAGGATCGATGTATAATCCAGATTTAGGCTTAAAGCTTAAATTAAAAGGGAAAATTTATAAAGTCGTCAAACAGCGAGCCTAACATAAAACTCACACTCACATCCGTTATAGATCTAGATCTAGATCTAGATCTAGATTCTAGGTGCCGATGACGATAGAGAACGAGTGAATTCACAAGGGTTTATTCATTCGGAACTTTTAATTCAACATGAATTGGACGTACATCACTTTTGTCTAAAAAACTGCAATACTTATTGTTCTTTAAAGTAAACATTTCAGTATACGAACCTAGTATGGCTACGACAACAGATACAATTCCTTTCATCGTCAGCTGCTTTGACGCCATTTTCGCCTTGATGAATTCAATCACATGATAAACACAGGGGAGATTATCCGGAAGCTGTGTTTCTTTACTTTCTACAGTCAAGAGTTCCACAACAAACACACGACTTGCACGCACTCTCGACTCTCACTCTCGTACACCACTACCACATGCATGCTCAAAATAGATCAAGATAGGAACGTAGGTCAACCGAAGCTGCTGGACCCGTTCATGTGCTGGGGATAAGAAGCAGAAGACTTATCTGCCCTCTCATGTTGATCTGCACATGATCTGGAGGTATAAAAAGTCGAGCAAATTGTTTACCAATGAATTACCCATGCCCCATGATGCCTTGGCCGCCTTGGCCATGGTCTAGCGCCGTGGGCCATACTCCCATGCCATATATAGCCATTCATACACACACTTTCGAATAATCCACTTACTAGATTTTAGATCTAGATCTAGATTCTAGAATCTATTCTATTGAATCCCTGACCCTAGCAAATAGATCTAGATCTAGATCTAGATCTAGTTTGCTCAGTGTCAGTGGACCTTGTCACGCGGGTAAGTGCTGGCCCTTTGCCGAACTCCTCACATTTTTAGAACGAAGTGACTATTTATCCGAACGTTCGGAGAAATAGTGCCGATCTTTATTTCTCCGAACGGTTTCCGGCTTCCGCTCTGGTCGTGATTGTTTGCCTATTTGCGAGAGTTCGGCGCCAACTTTCATTCCGTCATTCTGCGAGGTCTGGGAAGGAGCAAATCAAAGGTGGTATCTGTTCTCAGCTTCTCCTCCGGCCGTATGCCCACTGGTTTAGCGAGGCGGGTACTGCCTGAGGCACCCGAGAGACGGAGAAATCTGACCCTCTTTTCTATTGAGTGGACGGTTATCGTCCATTAAAAAAAAAACGGAGCAAATTTTTGGGTTTAGATCTATTTCAATTTTCAAAAGCTAGATATCTAGATCTAGATCTAGATCTAGTCTAGAGATTTTTAGATGAGTGTAAAAACGTGAAAAAGAAAGGTTTCACAACAGAATGAAATCAAAACTAGAACAGCCCAGAAATAACCACAACAATTAACAAATAAGGGCGTGTGTCCACCTGTCCGAAGAAGATTGACCGTTTTAACCCTAAATGTGCGTAATTTGTTTAAAAAAGTACAGGATATTGCATGGAAATTATGGAACCACACACAGGGGGCCTGCCAGTGTCAGTACATGTAATTGGTTTTGGTGGAACGCTCTAACATAGCACATTTAAATCTATACAGGTATATATATTTAGAATCTAATGAAGGTAGGAACATCAAATTAAATGACGTTACACAATACCTTTTGTAGGAACATCAAATTAAATGACGTTACACTATACAACCCCCCCCCCCCCCCCCCTTTTCCCCAACAAAAAAAAATTAATAGAAAAACAACACATCAGAACAATAACAAGAAAAAAACACACCAACAAAATATAACACCACAAAGAGGGAAAAATGAACGAAAAATAAAAGAGGAACAGCAATACAAATCGTATGTAACTGTAACGTATTCAACAAATCAACGTGGTGACAACAAGTGAGAAAGAGAGGAAGTGAAGCTAAGTGAACTTTCTTTCAAAAGTAAAGAGTTTCATTTTCTTTTCTTTTTTTTTGACTTTTTCGGGGACCAAAAAATCGAGCCACGATTGATTGGTCGCGGACTCGACAAACGCAGATGCTAGCTCTATGTGTCGTTATCAATAACCCTCCATAGATCTAGATCTAGACAGCTCACGAGTGAACGCAACACATTAAGTTTAAGAGCAGCACCCTTCATAGGCCACACGTCATATCTGTAGCGAAAAACTGTTTGGAACTGTAGCATTTCTTTATATAAATACGGACATTTTTTGGACCGATTGAACCATATTGTATACGAACAATCTTTGGTAGGCCTATAATATAATTATAGATCTATATTTTATTTTTATTATCCGAAATATGCGGGAAAGGGTGTGATTTCAGAGTGTTCGGAGAAATAATGCCCAGCTTTATTTTCCCGAACGTTCGGAGAAATAGTGCCGGCCTTTTTAGAAACTAGATCTACAACTCAAATCAAAATACCAGGTTCCAATGCCAGACAGTCAAATACAGCATTGAGTCGGGTCAATAAAAACGGTGTGGCTAGCCGTACTTAAGTACGGCTAGCCTGGGAGTTTTAAGTACGGCTAGACTGGCAGTCTAGCTGTACTTAGATTAATCTAGATCTAGGTTTGGCCCTATTGACTCGAACCTGTTGAGTACACAGGTCTCATTAGATCTAGATCTAGTAGTTATTTAGGTTTAAATCATGCAAGTCAGTAAGGCACCTTTTGGTTTTGTCTTTTAGTTTTAGTAGAGGTTTTACGGCGCTCGCAACTGCATTTAATAAGGTAATGAGCGCCAGAAGATTAGAGGTGTTACAAGAGAGTAACAAACATAAAAAAGAAGAAGGGGAGATAAGGACAATAGATGTTTGATAGGAAAGAAGAAGCAAATAGCCGTGCTTATCTTAGGCCCTATTAACATTGGCCACCTCTATTCTCACCCGGAGTGAGAATAGTGCAGGCGAGTCTTGTGGCTATTCTCACCCGGTGCGCGTTCACCAAATTTTGCGTTCACCCTAAACCACAGAATTCTACACTGTGATAACAGAAAAATTGTAGAATTCTGTGCCGTGAACAAACGTTCCATTACAACTGTAGCCTACTAAAAGCGTACAATTTTGTCTGTGGGCAGTGGAGAGAGAGAGAGAGAGGAGTAGCGCGAGAATTTCCGGGCAAAACAAAATGGCGACCCGCGTAGTTCGGCTCGATTCGAAAAGTTAAATAGCCGTAGCATCTTTGTAGACAACCAAATTAATTTACTTTTGTGTTTTAACATCATTTTTTAACTTTGTTTTGGTCAATTTGATCGTCCACACCAATAGACAGTATTCAGAAAGAGACAGAGAGAGAGAGAAGAGGGGAGGAGTTGATCTTGCGAGAACTTCCGGGCGGGTGAGAATAGCCACTTTCATTAACATTAGAAAACAGGTTTAAAATACATCATGCACTGCCATTAAGGCACCTGGTTTCGTCTCAAATACAACTTTAGAGGTACTGCAAACTAAAAATTTATTTATAATTCAGTAGGCTTTTTTTATGGTTAGTCTAGCCATCATAAAGTAAGTACGGCTAGCCAATCAGTCTAGCCTAGCCTGGCAGTCTAGTCGTCATTAAGTACGGCTAGCCTCTTCCCAATAAAAATTCAGTTTCAGTGCTCATTACAAATAGCCTAGACCCCTCCCTCTGTGTCAAATTGGAGAAGACAGGAGAATAGATCTAGATCTAGATGATCTAGATCTAGAAAACTTGGACTGCAAAGATGTAATTTTATAGAACAGAACATACTGTCCACAACTCAGCCATTTCCTTCCATAGCCAAGGCTAACGTTTTAAGTGTACCCTGCTGTTGTGTTGGGAAGTTCAGTGGAATTTGTTTGAATTGTGCAACAATGGTGGCTGAAATTGCCCTTCCATGGAGGAAAATCTCATTGACACCACCAATAGCTCAGTTTGAACAAATTCAACAAAATTTGCCTGGTAGTGTGCCCTGGGTAAGAACATCTGTACATACTATGATCACAGTACAGATCTCGAGTTCACTAAAAAGAAGTTTTCCTTAAATTCCCATGCCAATTTGTAGACTTGAGCCTGAGTAAACAACAGTTACAGCAAAGGCAGACTATGGTGGAGGCCTTTTTCACTGTCTTGAAGCGTGTGAGACAAGATTTGATGATTTGCTACGAGAGGGTTGTTGATGATTTAATCGTTATATAACCCTTGAAACTTTTAAATTTAGAATGAGAGTGTTTTGGCTTTCGATAAATCGGGGATATATTAGATCTATTTTCTTTAGGTTTACTGACTGTTTTTGGATTAACTTTTGGGTTTCAGCTATCTCCACTGTATTACGTCTAACTTGACTGACATATTGTGTTTATACGGAGTGTCTACGTACACGGTAACCTGGCACCCAGTCTCTGTATCTACGTACACGGTAACCGGGCACCTAGTCTCTGTATCTACGTACACGGTAAACGGGCACCCAGTCTCTGTATCTACGTACACGGTAACCGGAATGAAAATAAATCAATATTTGTCTTGTGCTGTCACTTGATGAAAAAAGAGAAAGTCATACAAGCTTCTTGTCGGGCTCGCCATCGTGACCGGTCAGTGAACCTGTGCGGGCGCATCACATTGTGAGTATCAGTTGGGGTCACCAAAGTTCATTCAAAGTCTGTGCGCTGCGAAGTATAGGGCTCCGGAATGGGGGGGGGATATATATATTGATTTTTTAAAAGTTACAGTCGGGGGAGGGGTGGGAATGAAGGCAACACTGGATGACAAAAACTGAACTTGGAATTCTGGACTGTCCGGTTACCGTGTACGTAGACACTGAGGCTAGGTGCCCGGTTACCGTGTACGTAGACACTCCATATTTTAAAATATCGAGGATACTCAGACCTCACGTACAATATGGGGGATATAATTTGACTCCAAAATCGGCCCATTTTTTTAGATGGTGGAGATCATTCCAGGTGAATTTCTGACATGCAAGAAGGGGCTCAACTTGCAAGAAGTCCAGTCTGGCATTTTATACAGTGTTTTTTTTTGTTTTAGTAAAAGTTTTACGGCGCTCAAAAATTGTTAGATGTTGTATAGAGACCAATGATATTTTAAACAGTGAGACTGGAGTGGCTGGTAATCCAAGTCAAATGTCATGATGATTTGATATAGTAGAGGTAACCGTTCAATAGAAAAATCTATTTTGTGTTAACCTTTTTTTTAGCTGATCCTGGCTGTATGCTGCGTATTATAACACGAGGGTGTCAACTTTTTTACCTCATTTGGAGGAAAAATCCCTCATTTTATAGGTGAACCTGCTTTGTTGTCTCATGATTGGTCGACTCTGAGTTGTTATTTTACAATATTTATAACTTCTTTATTTACAGTTTCATCTGAAGCAAATCAGGACTGCAACATGTCTGAAACAGATGAACAGCCAGTTATCCTTCAAAGCGGACTAGAAGAGCCTCTATGCCCTGCCGTCACCTCTGTGTCACCCATTGTAGCATCTGAAGGCTTCGTAACTACTGCCGATGTGTCTTGTACATCAGTTACAGCCCTTGATAATCGTCCAACGTGTTCGGACAATGAGGCCCGGTGTGCTGGCCCTTCTTATGAAACCATCTCCAAACTGTCAGAACTAAAGAGTTCTCCCTCATGTACGACGGAAGTGAATGAAATTGGCAACGTTGAGATGTTCAGTCAAGAGGAGGCAGAAGTGTGCGTGGCGAAAGACTGTACAGTCACAGCAGAAGGAACGAAGGATGAAAACTCTGCAGGTACTCTTTTTTCTACGACGCAAAGGGAGAACTTAACGCAGTGCCATGATTCTGTTGGATCAATCACTCAAACTTCGCAACAGGACAGTGGTGAAATTGAAAGAGAATCTAATATTATAGTACCGTCCGAGACTGTATCTGAGTCAACTCTTTGTTCACGTAATGAGGATGTCAGTGCAACAGAGACAATGGAGACGGCTGGCGGGGAGGCAGCTGCAGGAGCTTCAGGCTCACACCCTCAGGTAAGGTTAACATCCTCTCCTTCTCTTCCCTATCCACCTCCTCCTCCTTCTCCTCCTCCTCCTCCTCTATGGCTGCTCCTTCTTTTTTTTCTTCTTCTTTTTGTTTTTCTCATATTGATGTTTTTCTCATCTTCTTTTTCATTTTTTTCCTCCTCCTCCTCCTCCTCCTCCTCCTCCTCCTCCTCCTCCTCCTCCTCCTCCTCCTCTTCTTCTCCTCCACCTCCTCCTTTTCTTCTTCTCATCCTCCTTTGCCTCCTTCTCCTCCTCCTCTGCCTCTGCTGCTTCTTTTTCATCTTCCTTTTCTTGTTTCTCTTTCTCTTCTTTTTCTTGTTCTCCTTGTTCTCCTCTTCTTCCGCCTTCACCTCATCATCATCGTCCTTGTCCTCCTCCTCCTCTTTACACACCTCCTCCATCTCCTCAAGGCTTCAGGGGTAGTCAGTTACAGGTTTTTCAACCTACAAATGATGTTGGTTTTTGTTTATTACGTGGATTTTTTTTTTCTACGAAATAAGGAAGAGCAGCTGGCCATTTTAGTCACTTTAGCCAGCTGATTTCATAGTGACCATGGGTGGTTGGCGGACGCTCTGGTGTGGTTTGCTCCTTCTTTCCTATCCCACATCTATCTTACTTAAGTCGCATCTTTTCTTTGTATGTTACTCTCTACTTACACTTCTCTTATCTTTGGCGTTTATTGTAGAAAGCTATTTGTGTCTCCAGTGTCATAAAACTCTTACTACTAAAATTAAGTCTTGGTGACCTGAGCTTGTCCAGTTTTTGGTAGTGACAGATACCCTCTGATCTTCGGCACTTGTATCATGGCCTGTTTTGCTGTGTCACAAATGCCGTAAAACTCTGAGTAAAAACTAAAAAAGTTCCTTTGTTTTGTTCCAGCCGTCTCAATGTCCAGCTCCGGCTGAGGATATTCCTGCTGAGTCGGCCACTGCTGTCCAAGACCACATGATGGCAGAATATGACGTGGAGCCGGCTGTTTACGCAGATTCCAGGTTTGACTCTGAGCTCTCCCATGTATAACCAATGTGCCAGGGACTGGACAAGAAAGATCTCATAGTGGGTGGTTGGCGGGTGCTCTGGTGTGGTTTGCTTCTTCTTTCCTATCAAACATCCATCATCCTTATCTCACCTTCTTCTTTTTTATGTTTGTTACTTTCTTGTAACGCCTCTAGTCTTCTGGCACTCATATGACCTTATGCAGTTGCAAGCGCCGTAAAACATCTACTAAAACTAAACTAAAGGTTCTCATATATCTTATAAATACAGTGTATTGCTTGTAGCTTGTTGAAGCTTTGCTCTCTGTCTTCAAAACGTCTTATCTTGTGTTGGGCAAAGTCAAAGCCTTTGTGTGGTGGCTTTCTTGGACTTTTTACTTTGGTGAGCGCTTTTGGTGAATACGTAACCTATTTAGATCTTTTTCTATTTTTGAACTTTCTCCATTTTGTCTAGCGTCTTGACATGGCCACTGCTACTCTTACAGGGTGGCCAGGGAAGTCGGAAATTGGTTGGAAATTTTTGTTTAGGTCGGATAAGTCGGATTTTTGTCGGAAAAATTTTGTTCTGACGGAAATGGTTGGATAAACGTCGGCAATGAAAGGAAATTTGAGGAAATCTGTAAGTTGCCTCGGGAAAGACCCGGGAAAATACATAAAAGTTCTCGAATATTTGAAAACCAAATCCGACAACGTCCCTAAGTTCATTTTGTCGGTCGCGATCATTCAGCTTTTCCCGGTCTGCGAGTAGGCTACGTTTCATGCGAACAGGCGGCTATGGCGGCAAGCGGAAGTGTACGAGTGATGCCGAAGCTCGATCGGGAAAATCTAGATCTACTTTCGCTTTCACTACCACTCTGAAATTTGCCGGTAAAAGTCTGATAACACAACATTGTTGGAACATGCAGTTTGTGCATTACAAAGGCTGTGTCGCTATGAAATACATTGTTGTAACATGCAGTTTGTGCATTACAAAGGCTGTGTCGCTATGAAATACATTGTTGTAACATGCAGTTTGTGCATTACAAAGGCTGAGTCGCTGTGAAAATCAATCAATATTTGTCACTTGTGTAAAAAGAAAAGAAAGTTGTACAAGCGTCTTGTCGGGCTCGCCGTCCTGACCGGTCACTGAACCTACGCGTTTGTATGTCACTTGTCGGGCTCGCCGTCATGACCGGTCACTGAACCTGCGCGTTTGTATGTCACACACATGATGATAGGGCGTCGAGTGAGTACTGCGAATGTTGGGGTCACTAAAGTTCATTCTAAGTCTGAGCGTTGCGAAGTATAGGACTCCGGGATGGCGGGATTATTAATTTTTTTAAAAAGATACACCAGGGGAAGAAAACTGAACTTGGTAGCAAATTTTAGCATTAGCATTTAGAATTTTGATTGCAACGAGAGCTTTCTGCATAGCGTGTGTTGTGCAGGACTTGAGTGGAATCGGGATCCGTCATACCTTGTTAGCTGTGTTATTGAACTAAAGGGTTGGCGTGTCATTGGATGGGTGATAGTCGTTTGACCATGGAAAAACTCAGGAAGATAGTCTTTGGAGAGTAGAAGATTGACGGCCCTTGGCATACTGAAACCCAGGCT